TGAAATTATATGACATTTAGTCGCTCATCTGAAATCATACCCCCTTAGCCTCAACAGAAAAATACTCTTTCTCAAGATTCATTTGTAGGGGTCACAACCATAGCTCGTGTCCCAAAGATTTGGCATGAATCCGAAAGCCATCCTTTCCGCTCCATACTCTACCTTGCTTGAACTCTCTTATTATCTCTACAAACATATTCTATCTAGAAACTCAATATTTCTCTCGCTCTCTAAAAACTCATATTTTTTTTTTAAAAACCCAATCTTTCTTTCTCTCTCTAGAAATCCAATATCTCTTTTTCTCTCCAAAAACCCAATATCTCTTTCTTTCTCTAGAAACCGAATCTCTCTCTTTCAAACCTATTATTTTTCTATGAACTTAATCTCTCTTTCTCTCTTTAAAAAATATTTTAACGAATATTTTTTTAGCTTACAACCAAAAACAATTTGAAGAGTAAGATAAAAAAAAGAAAAAGGTTTTTAATGGGCTGGCCAGCCCAGGCCATCTCAATAGAGTTTTAACCGGCTGGGCCAAGCCTCACTATCGCATTTTCGGGCAAGGTCATGCCGGGCTTTTCATGGTCAATTTATGGGACATACCGGCCCTTCAGTCGAACTGGTTGTCTCTCTTCCGCTCCTTCCACTGCGCATTGCTGCCTTTAGTGACCCTTTTACTTCGCCCCAATGTCTTGATTCCTTCCCTTATCTAACCTATTCCCATTATTTATTCCCTCTTCTTTGTTCACTTTAAAGGAGGGCAATCTGCTCACCATTAAATTTGTTAAATATTTTTATGAAAAGTAAGGAAAACTCTTCCCAACGCCTCTAGGCAAAAAAGAACAATGATTTTGTCTACCCTCATCACCATCCGAACTTCATCGTACGGTCACAGATGTTTGGTAGTATTTCAATTTTTATTTTATATTCTACAAATCTAAATTACATGAAATTTGGAGCATGTATACATCTTAGTGAGGAGCACTTAATAAAAATATGAAAAAAAGTAATTCGTAAAATATAAATTGACAAAAATACCCCCAAAAATTTACAGGGGTATTTTGATTAATTTATATTTTGCGAATTACTTTTTCATATTTTTATTAGGTGCACCTCACTAAGTTGTACACACGTGTCAAATTTCAGATCATTCCGATTGGTAAAAAACCATGAAAATTGAAACACTACCGGATAATTGTGACGTGCGATAAAGTTTGGATGGTGATGAGGGTAGGCGAAATCACTGTTCATTTTTGCCTATAGGCATTTTATAGTATCTTTCGAAAAGTAATATTTGGGTATCTTACAGTTCGTTACCATTTACTTACTTGGTCGAGTATACTCGGACTCTACCGAATTACCTGGTTCACCTTATTGTTGAGGTGGGTTACGTTGTACACCCATCATATATATAATTTATAGATTTACGCTATTTTTTAAACTTGAAATTCTATTATTAGAGATAAAAATATATTTTAAGACTATCACAAAGATTTCCCGTATTGAAACTACATTTCTCGACACTATTTGAAGATGTTTTTTACTTTGATTTTTTAGAAACTCGGCTCCATGAGAAAATGTCATGGCATATTGGTGGCGTGATCCTTGTATCCTAACTTCATTGAGTTCGAACCGAAATGTTAAAATGGCATATTGGTAGCGCTAAATGTTAATATACACTTTTTTTTATTTTTTAGTTTTTTAAACTGGGGCTTGACTCGAGCGAGTTTTCGGACTCGCCTAAATAACTTTCCTCAATCAAGTTGTGAACACCTTAGCCAAGTCGATTTTCAGTATGCGCAAATATAAAGATGTCAATATAAAATACAGTATGAATGTGGAATTACTAAAATGTTATTACGGACTTTGAATGAAGAAGTAATACAGTTCAGCTCTCAGTTGTTGACATCTATGGTTGGGAAGTGCAAGAAAACTATATTAAATCGAAAAACTAGCAAGGATGCAGTTTCATTTATCATGACATCGGTGAGGACCAAGTGATGTACATTATGCGGATTAGATATTAGATTTTCAATTAAGTCCATAATTTAGGAAATAAATTATTTGTGTGATTATATATCCAATATTCTTCTGAGTTCTGATAATGCTAAAGTATTTATTAAATCTAGACATTTATTTTCCAATCACATATCCTATAACATAGTTCTAAGTAAAATACCAATAAAATATTTATTATAGGAAGAAATAGAGATTACGTTTCAATTAAGAGAGATGTCTCACCTGGCTTTTTTTTTTTTTAGGTAATTCAGTAGGAAAGACAAGTTTCTATTTGTTTTTCATATAGATTAGGGGGTTAACTTTTTTTTTTAAAGTTATCAGTAGGATTGAAAACCACAACATGATAACTAAGTATGGGGGTGCTACTACCATGACACAGCCCCTTTACTAAGAAATGTAAAAATATAAAAAGGTTATTTTCAATAGGTGCTTCTCTCCTTATAAGCTTCAAATTAAATGAATGCCATGAGTCCCTACCCTTAATTGATGTCAATCAATTTAATCTCATCACCGTTGTGCCGAGATTCACCTCGGCCAAGAGAAGAGGTGAGTTACTAGGCCGAGTTTGAAAGACTTGGTCAAGTGCACATGGCAAAAAAAGAGCCCTAAATAAATTAGGAAAAAATGACAAAATTCGAGAACAAAATTCGGGAAAAAAAAAAAGAAATTAGCAGAAGTAAAATCACAAATGAACTTTAAAGAGTTAAAATAAGATTAAAATGAACAGAAAAATGGATTTTGAAAAAAAAAAATGACTTGCTATTTTTTTATTTTAAAAAATTCTAAAAGGGTAAACTATTCAACTAGTGATTATGGAGAAAGACTCACCCATCTTTGACAAAAACATCAAAGTCACGTACGAAAATATTTATATAACAATCTCACATATTTTACAATTTTTTTGGATTATGGGTCGGGCTCGAATTATTCGGCGGAGTCCGAGTAGAATTGGGTGAGTCATGGCACACTGCTCCTCACCGTGGACTCCATGTAGTTATGCTTACGGAAAAGGATTTTCCGTTGTCAGAAGGCTAGAGTATACTTACCATTGAGAAATAAAAGAAAGTGATGATCATATATGTGTTCAAATTCAAAAGATAAAATTAGAAAAAAAATAAAATACAAAAAAATTATAATTAAAAAAAAATAAAATAAAAAGGGGCAAACTTAACTGCTTCATTTCTCCTGAAATATTACGTAGTTACGGTAGCCACATAATTTTTATATTGAGAAATGGCCACTTCTACAAATTCAGAGCATTCGGAAATGAACTTTTAATCTTATTTTGTCAACTCGTAAGCAATTCAGTGATAAAAGCCAATTTTAGCTTTAAGGAATAGATTTTTTGACTTAATATTATGGGAACGTATATAATGAAAATATTTACCTTTGGTACAAAGTGGTCACATTAATCTTGACCATTGGAATTGAAATTGGGTAGCTGCAATTATTCTTTTGATTAAGGTCAAACTTCAAAAGAAATTTTTTCAAACTTTGTGTTACATCCAAGTTATCAAATTTCACATCAAATGGTTGTAAGTAATTGTGATCATCCTGTATCAAAAGTAAATAGTCTCATTGTATATAATCCATAATATTATTCTAGTTTCTTATGTCGGTTGGAAATTGCATAGATATGTTTCCCAAGAAAATAACTAAGAGCTAGTTTGGATATACCCAAAATTACAATATTTTTAAATGAAAAAAAAAAATTAAAATAGAAAGTAAGAACCGTTTGGATCACCTCATAAAAAATTTTAGTTCATAAAAAATGATACCACTTTAGCCCCAAAACCACAAACCAAAAATATTCAAGTCGGACTCGAATCCTTTTGGCTTAAAGTCGCATTTCTCTTAAAACTTTACCCTCTCGCGCCTCTCTCTCTAACCTTCACGTTCTTCCCTCACTTCCTTGCTTTTCTCTCGTCTCCTTCCTGTTTTACCCACTTTCTCCTCCCTGTTTCTTATCTCTCTTTCTCTCAAACATATTTCTATTCAAGCTTTAGTAGCCTTTTTTCTATTCAAGCTTTAGTGGCCTTTTTCTCTCTAGAAACAGTGGCTCAGGCCCTCCCATCATCTCTCAAAGACAACCAAACTCGCCTTTCTTCCAATGGCTCAAGCCCTTCCATCATCATGCGCCAATGGTTTTTATCGTCTTTGAACAGCAGGCCAGCTCCGTGGCCCTAGTTTTCGCCTCTTCCTCTCTCTAAGAAAAGACAGCAGCTGAGTTTTCCATTTCGCTCTCCGAAAAAGACAGGAGCTGAGTTTTCCCTTTTGCTCTCCCAAAAACTCAGCAAATAGAGGTCAGCAAATCTCCAACAATCATAACAAGCTAGGGTAAACTTATCTGTGTTCTTTGAAAAACCTGGCAGTCCCTTCTTTAAAAACTTCAGAAAACCTGGCAATCCCTTCTTTAAAAGCTTCAGTTTCTTCTCACCCTCTACCTCTTGCGCTCTCTACAAAAAACCAGCAACAAGATGCAGGATTTCACATATTCAAAGAGTTGGTTTGTACAGAGCAGAGCATTACAGTGAATTAAGCTGTGCTTGATTTACTCATGATTATTAAGGACCAATCTTGCTGGTTTTGGAACACAAGGTGGGGTCAAGTCAATGGAGACAAAGCGATTTAGAATTTCTTGACAAGATGGAGTAGTGGATTTTTTGACAAATTAATGAAATTAGACATCCAAACAGTCTACCAACAAAATAAAATAAGACGAGCATGGTTTTCCATTGAGGTGGAAAAAAGTTGCATTTTTTTTATCTGTCAATATTTTTTTTCTTTGACATTCAAACTGGCGATAAGGTAACCTCACTTTGAGAAGTATAAAAAAATCAAAAAAGAAAAAGGGTGAGAAGTATATTCCCCATAAAACTCAAAAATAAAATCGAATTAACCTTTCATTTTCTTTCTTTCTTTTAATTTTACCAAAGCCTTTGCTCTGGATTCATTGGAATGAAAGAACACCCACACATAAACACACTTGTTCTTAATGCCTCACACAACAAACTTCAAACCACCCTCATTATCAAGTCTAAGCCAAGTAAACTGTGAATTCCAAGAGCGTCTCCATCCCATCGGTGTTGTTTCCCACAGTTGGAGGGAGGGTCCTAACAATGGCATAGCCATTAGCTCCCTTATACTTGCCTGTGCCTCCAATAACTGCAATATGTGACTCATGAACCGCCGCACGATGAATGCCGAAGAAGCTAAGGCTATCCTCATATCCGCCAATCTCCATTAGAACCGTGAGAGCCATCATCTGACTGTTGCCGTCTTCCGAGCTCGCCACATAGAATCCCTGAGCCTTCCCAACAACTGCTGAACCGAGCTCGTGCCCCTCAGTCAGCTCATCGTCAATGATGGTGATTGTCCCAAACTCCACACCCAAAAGGTTCGTCCCAACAGACAGCTGATTGCTGCCTGTCAAAATGGGTACCGAGCCACTTGGGTTGTTTCCAACTTGGCCGATTGTTCCCCCAAGGCCAGTTACTACTGGGATTACACCATTCATATTGTTGCCATTACTATTCGTCAGTGTTGGAATCGAATTTGAGAAGGGATTGGCTCCATTTGATGGTAAGACACCAGTGATTTTGGCAAAGGGTATCTGCCCGTTCACGGAGTTTGTGACAATGCCCGTGACAGGCTTGGCGGAGGGGTTCGCGCCACCGAGAATGTCGTGCATGAAAAAGGTTAGTGGGTTGTCAGGTGTGGAAGACGTGGTGCTCGTTGAAATAGGTTGTTGGCCAGTGGCAGCAGTAGCATCAATACTTGTATCTGTGGTTTGGGTCACACCCGAGGCAGCACCGTCCCCAACGGTCATAGGCAATGGTGGTGGCTCTATGGGTGTTGTTGTTCCGGGCAAAGGTGCTAGTGTTGATGGTTGAGTGCCTTCATCGAGGATTCGGGCGGAACTCAAATGGGATACGAGGGTGGTTATGATGAGCAATGCAAACTTGAAGGCCATGGCTAGAGAGACGTGTTTGTGTTGTGGATCGGCAGTCGAAATATGGTTTTGGTTGGTTTTTGAAGAGAAGAGATGGGCCTATATATACCAACGTTTAGTGAGGGGAGAGTCAAAGTCTAAGATAAGGATGGATGGAGCAGTTCGGGATTAGAAATAGGCATGGAGTTGTTCGAATTGGAGTTGCTAGCCCCAATCTCATATATTGGAGTTTAGTTTTAAGTGGGTCCATAGATGGAGGGGAGCGACCCACTACATTAGATTGGGGCGATCTGACCTGGACCGGGACTGGATCCTTAAAATTGATTCAGTTGGCTGGGTTTGGGTCTAGGTCATTGGTAATAGATCGGGTCCTAGTCTGATTCTCTTGACCTAACATATATGCATGTAATATCTAAAATTATATATCAAATATATTTTATATATAAGCAAAATTGTTTCATGCCGGATGGACCTTATGCCATCTAGAGGTATAAAGCATCCATTTTAAAGATAGATTCAAATAGGTAGTTCATCTAAAAAGATGGATTCAAATAGGTGGTTCATCTAAAAACAAGTGTAACTAACATTTCAAATGTTTTTTTAATTTAACTATTACTTCTAGTTTGTTTTTTTTTAAAAACAATTCCATATTAATGATTTTTATGTTAAAAATTATATATTATCTAAAACTTGAGATTAAATAATATTTAAAAATTATATTTATTATCAAGCCTACATAGAAACTGTATCCTATATATAATATATTATTTTTTATATTTTTAATATCCTTACCACAAGGAGAGAGGCATTGTATTGAGGAGAGAGATGGTATGGGGCTGAAAAACAGGGAGGACATGGAGTTGAGAGAGAGAGCCGTGGGGGGAGAGAAGAGAACGAGAATGGGGGAAATGATAAAAAATAATGCCTCTCTCAATTTCTATGGGGAAAAGTGTACACAAAGTTAGATTGAAAGAAAGGAACCGATTTTGCATCAATTTCTATGTGGAAAAGTTTAAGTTCAGTTTTTATCAAAATATGATCCCCTTCACAAATTGATCTTACAACTGGAAATTTTTGTGATAGTGTCCAAATATGTTGTTTCAATACTGAAAATTTTTGTGATGGTCTGAAAATTTATTTTCATCTCTAATTATAAAATTTAAATCTTCAAAAATATTGTAGGTCGATCATCTAAGAACACTTGAAAATTGATGGTCCAAAAATATATTACAGGATGCATTATTTTCAAAACTTGAAATCTATTTTTTCTCCTCTCTAAGCATCTTGAGGTCGAAATGATCAATTTGACGAATTTTGGGCATAAAAAAAACCTCTTATAAGATTTTTGAATTGCGCCTATATTTGATTGTTTAGGGCCTGAACCACATATAAACCTCTTTTCCAAAGGTAAATTTAGGATTGCCTTGATTTACTCGAAAAGCAATTTAGCTTGGAACACTTTTATTGAGTTCAAGTTCGATTCAATTGCAAATATTAGTTTGACATTTTCTTTCTTCAAGGCTGAAGTTAAGCATGTAACTTGAGGGTTCAGAAATTCCCTGAGCAGCTTAGAGGAAAATATAATTTTTGTTTACTATCAAAATGTGAATACTAGGGCACCTTTTCTGTTTTTGTTGTTTCGTTTGTGTGTGTTTTCTTCAGTTATTAATTGTTGTGCAAGATGAGACGGGGCGGGTCGGGCTTCCATTCGGGCTGCAAATTCAGGCTTTATTGGGCCTGGTAAGGGCTTTGGGCAAGGCCAGCCTGGGATGAAGGAAAAGGTAGTATTTGTCGGGCCGGGCTTTTAATGGGCCAGCCAAAAAGCCCCGAACCTACTAAAAATTTTTCATTAAATTCTTAATTTTTTTCTCTAAAAATTAGATTACTCTTTCTCTCTAAAATTTAAAATTTTAGATTTTTTTTCTCTCTTAAAATTTTAAAATAGTTTCTCCCTCTAAAAAATTTAAGTTATTTCTCTCACTTTTGAGGAATGATACGATGCAACAGCTGTATGTTTATATAATGAGATGGTCTGTTGGCCAATTTTTGGCCATTGGATTCTGTTGAATCCAACAAGTGAGATTAAAACCCCTGATCTCATTTGCTCGCCTCTATCTCCCGCCCTAAACAACAAACCAGATGAGTTGGAGACGATTCACTGGCCGTTGGTCCGAAACTATTTAGTGAGAGAAAATGAGAGAGAGACACTGTTGAGAGAGACATTTTTCTAGAGAGAGACGTGGAGACCGTTGGGAGGGAGACCGAGAAAGAGGGAGAGCATGCATTTTCTAGAGAGAGAATTGATGCATTTATTTAGAGAGAGAAGGGAGGCATTTTCTAGAGAGAGAAAGGAGATATCCTTGTCTCGTGCAGGTGGAGAGGAGACACATCTTTAAATCTTTTTGTGCGTGCTTCTCTGACATTGTCTCTCTCTCTCTTCCCTGCCATGGATGCCAGATCTGTTGGAGTTGCATCATCCCATGCCGCAGTATTGATGCCGAGGCACCCTTCTCTCTCTATATGTATCTAAATAACCGTGGCAATTTACAGATCTCTCCCTCTCTGCTCTTTCTCACTCTTAATTCTTGGTTCGAGATAGTGGATCGTCTGCTGGCTATTGATTCTCTCCCCTCTAACTCCATTTCTATTCTTTTATTCGTGTCTTATTCGGATTGTTTTATTTGTGAAAGATAAGTTTTAAGGGGTCTTCTGGTGTTAAGGAAAATGCCTAGGGTTTGAGACCTGATTCTAAGAGTTTTTGTGGTTGTTTATTGCGTGAAAGGAAATATTTAGGATTTGTTTGACCGATGGTGTGTTTTAGGATTTCTTTTAGGAGGATAGAACGGATTTTTGGTGCCGGCAGGTGGTTCCAGATGTCAAGTAAGTTTTCTCAAGAAAGTGTCCATGATTTATTGTGATAATTCTCTCAATTTTGTATGTTGATCAGAGGATGACTTTGTTGGTTCTCTTTTTGTGTCCAGGATTTATTGTGGTGATTCTTTCAATTTTGCATGTGGATGAGAGGGTGATTTTGTCCGTTCTCTTTTTCTTTTTTCCCCATACATTCAACAATTTTTCAAATGTAAGCCTCCTAAAAACTCTTTTAATCCTCTTTTTTTCCTTTTCACCCATTAAAACGTTTTTCTAGTTGAACTGGTATAAAAATATTTGTCTTATGGTGGTTAAAAGAACAACGAAAAAAGGATCTATTATAAAATAATATGAAGAATTATAGTTCTATACAAAATTTTCCCATAAAATAAATGTTTTTCTTCTATCATGGCTGCCTACTTTGCGCTTTAATAATTACTTAAAATACCCTTAGATAAATAGTTACTATCAACAACAACAACAATAATGGTAAAAATAATAATATGATTATTATTAATTTTACTATTATTGTTATTGTTGTTATTATTATTATTATTATTGGTGCAATTGGCATACGGATGCATCCGTAGTTGTAGAGGTCAGGTTCACCTTCAAATTTTATCATGGTATATAATTTTGATGTAAAATGTTTGAGTAATGATCCTCTATAGGACCCTCCTCCACCCATATATGTAGGACCCTAAATGATCGCCATTAAAATTCGTACGGATCTCTAAAAAAGTTATCATATGGGTGTGAGACTTGACTTTTCTATAGATCCGTGCCAAATTTAATAGTGATCATTTGGGGTCCTACACATATGGGTGAGGGAGGGTCCTATAAGATCAATTCTCAAAATGTTTTTAGGATTATCTCATAACCTATTTTATATCTAATTATAAAATTTTAAATTACAAAAATAGTTAAAATCAAACTAGATCTATAAATATATCAAAATCTTGAAAATGGATGGTGTAGATAATATGTTGTAAAATACACTATTTCTAAAGCTTAAAATCTTTTTATTTTTCATGGCCATACATCTCAATGTCGAAATGATCAATCAAAGGGTTTTTCAACATTAAAACCACCTTTTTCGATGGATTTTTTAGGTGCATTCGTAGTTCTACATTACAAGGTTGCATCCTTATATAAACTTTTTCCTATTGTTATTATTATTATTATTATTATTAGTTAATATTAATATTCAATGTAATACTATTATACATGTTATTATATTATAACATACTGATCGGGATGACTTTGAGCGACTCATGAACATTCTACTTTTTCACTTTCTCCCTTTCTCTAAGTTAGTTGAAAAAGAGCTTCAATGCACTCTTGATGAGACAAATCTGCTGGTCTGGACTGGAATCGGACAATTTATTGAGACTCGGCTACTGGACGAGCTCAGTTAGTATGTTTCGAGGATCTACCGAGAGGGGGTTACACCCCCCACCTGACCAGACCAAAACTCGTTGATTTTATTTCGTTCGAACCAGTCGAGTCGTAAATTAACCGAGCGGATTGCATCAGATCCAACTGAGTGCTAAATAAACTCGTCGGTTTGCTCTGTCTCACTATTTTTTACAATAAAATGGTGTGGACCACAAGGACACTTATGTTTTGCAATAGTTTCTTTTTAGGTACTATTCATTTTTTTTAAACACTTCTCCCTCTTTGTATAAGTTCATGACTTCGAGTTATTTCATCTTGTGATACACATTATCACTCACACTCATACTGATGACCCACTCACACCCGCCACAAGTTATTCCTTATTTTTTTTCAAATATCAAGAATCTCAACCCCACAAGGACCAACCGGTGAGCCACCACGTTTCCTTTTCACTCTCTTCAATCACTCCCAGAATCCTCTTTTATCTAAAGATAGTCTCTCTCTTTAATTTATTTACTTCTTATTGTACTTCTATTAAATTTCAATATGCCAGGCTAGTTTACATCTTGCATGTTCTATATTTTATTGAAAACAATTGTAACAACAATTCATCTTCAAATAATTTGTAAGCACTTTCTCAACAGTCCCATCCTCACATCTCATAGTTGAAGAGAGGCTAGCAGTTCGTTAAAATGTAGTTTTTTTAGCATACTGAATCTGTTAAAACCTTGGCGAGCCCTAATTTCTTTAAAAATAAAAAATACAAAAAATAAGGAATTTA